ACTAATTGATAATAATAATAATAATAATAATATTATTATTATTATTATTATTATTATTATTATTATTATTATTATTATTGTTATTGTTATTATTATTATTATTATTAGTAATTCATTCCTCAAAACTAATTATTTAAACCTATATTGTAGAGGAGACTTTTTTACCCCGTTGGTAGAGTACATTATTAAAGACATTAGATTAAAGTTGGACGTTCAAAGGACAGTTTTAGTATTACGTTCTCTCTCTTAATCTCAGGTTCTTGAGTTGTGAATTTATCATAATTATTTGAACTTTATTTTTGTAATAACCATACATACCGTGAGCAATTAAGGATATGGTGACGATCATGACTTGGAACATAAATATCGTGTTTGTGATTGGAGTATCGTGAGATTATCCCTTAGAGTGTGTTTAGTTAGAGAGAGAGATGAAGTAATGGAGAGGGGTGACTGGAGAGAGGTGGAGGGAGAAGACTAATCACTTGTTTGGTTAGAAAGAGAGGAGGAGAGAGAGGAGAGTTGGAGAGATGTGCTCTCTCTCATAGCCCATCAAATTGGATCCTTCCATCAATAGAAGGATTCAAGCAATCCATTAAATTTAATATTAAAAAAACTATTCTACCCTCTAAATAAATTAATAATAAATAGTTTGAATGAATAATATAATAATTTAACAAATAACTATTATTTATCATTTTAACTCTCTTTCTATCATACCAAATAATATGAAGGATCACTATAATTTTCTCCGTCCTTCTAACCAAACAGAGCCTTAGCAAATCTTGTACTGGAATCAAATTAAAAATCCGACCCGAAACCACCGTAAACGCTTTCACACATGTACCCAGTGATATATTTTTCTTTCATTTTGAAAGGAGCACATGTTAAGTTTACCTTTGATACTTTGATAGGCAAATAACAAAAACTACAGAAAGGAAAAAAGTAAAAAATAAATGAAAATGTCTATAAAGTTTCTCAATAGTGCTAAAACTGTTTCATGTGTTTTTTCTCCTGTAGTTTTGTCGTGGGAAGTCAAGTCAAGGGTATGTACTGTGTAGAAGTATAAAAGAAATTCGACAAATAACAAAAACCTTTTTCAAACCATGCACAACAACCAGCGCAAAATGACGACCATTACGGAGAAGAAGGCGAAAATTTAGAGAAAAATGGTTTTATCGAACAGTTGGAGATTCTGCTCTTGCTTGGGCAAAAATAGGAATGCAGTCAAGTTGGACCGAATCCGGGTCCATCAGAAGTCAATCCCCCAACAGGCCAACACATCGTTAATATTATTATTTTAAGAATCTTTACAGTAGAGTAAATTATTTCGCTCAATAAATAAGAATTGTTATTTTTAACTATTGAATTAATTTTTTAATTGTATATATCTGCAGTAAAAATAATAATGTGACACACAAAATTATTCATATTCAGTTAATAACTAACCAAATAGTTAAAAATTAATAGAGCAGAATAGTATTTACACCATAAATACACCCTATCACTGCAATAAGTAATGGCCATTCATGGCAGAGTCTCCAGTATTTTTATTTTTATTTTTTTGTACCAAGTTTATAAATGATCAGAAACTCACTGTTGGAGATTTCGCTCCTCATAAAAATAATATATAAGAAGGTATTCAAAACAATAACCCTATGAACTGATTGAACTCCATCAATTTTTGTTTATTTTGTTAGTATTCTCTTTCTAGAGAATTTGCTACCATTCAGACATAATATTGTAGTTCAAAACTATATCGTTTCATAAAATTATTTGTTATTATAACTGGGAGACTTAAGAATTGAGGTGTCAAATTTTATTCCATAAGCAATTAGCTTGTCCTCATACAACTCTCCAGAGAGAGAGAGAAAAAAAAAATCATATGTATGGCAGCAAGGAAAATAATTGTCCTGTTTTGTATTCACATATTTAAATGTGATATCTGCCATAAAATCCCAGAAAGCCAGAGATTAGAGTATTTATGTAATGCTATAATTAACGTGCTAATTGTAAATTTAGCATTTGAGTGTAAAAAATACTTTCTAATATAATGCTAATTGTTATATTAAATTTTTCATATGCTATATTTTACATTAAATTTCTCACTATTTATAGATATGAAAAATTTGATATTTAATTGCTATTGGTTGAAATGTTTAATTTTTCATGTAATTTTTGCAACTTTTATATTTTCTAATATTATTTTAAAAATAAAAATTTACGTTTACAACTTTTAAAGCTTAATAATTATGAGAAAGAGTAAATTTAACATTTTAAATAACATTATACATTAAAGTAAAAATGAAAATAATCCACCATATTATACTTTTTTATGTTAAATATGTAATTGGTATTAACATTTGCACAACGTTAAGAACTAGCTACAGTTGCTACACAGGAAAAGCCAACCAATTTATTGTATTCCAAAGTTTGTGTTAATCTTTTTCCTCATTCATTTCTGATTTTCATTATGGGAGTTCGACCGAGGATTAAAAAAAAACAAATTTAATTACCATAAAAGTCACCTAACTAAGAATTAATGCATTATTTATATACATACATAGGTATGTGTGTATGTATGTATGCATCGAAGAAATGCAACCATAATTGCATTGATAAGGGATTTTCAGCAAGTTTGGTTAGTTTAAATTGAAAAAGACTTTAGTAGGTAGAAAATGGAGAGAAGAGTTGAATGGTAGCCACAGGAATTCAAAATTAATTGACCAAATAAACCAACAAAATTAATGTTCTGCTAGCTAAATGTGTGGCTTAGTTATATCCAACTGTAACTAATTCCCGTCGGCTCATAAGAATAATCAAATAGCAATCAATGTACCGCTTAGGAACAATCAACAATCTACTTGCTTTCTTCTTGATTAGGCAAACTCTTTCATTTTCTTTTCACTTCTGAATTTAATTTCTTCTGTCTTTATATAATGTCTCTTTCCTCACTAGTAATAAAAACATAGATGATACTTGAAAGTCAAAACAAAATGTACACCGCAGAACATAAATGTGGCAAAAGTCACTCAATCAGGTTAATTTTCCAATAGAAAGCAAAATATAAATAAATAAATAAAATTAAATCAGCACATGGAAAAGAATATATGCACATATATTACATAGGGTCGGTACAGATGTATGAACACAAAAAAAAAAAAATTAATTTCAAAAATTATCTCCGAATTATGACTTTTGTAACACTTTATCTCACGAATTTTAAAACGTAATATCCGTCTCCCCTGAACTTTGTTTCATTAATAATTTTTCCCTTTATGTTACAATGAGTGATGAAATTCGCCATGTGTCGGACGCATGATCCATTTAAGGAGGGTAATTCTAGACTAATTCTGAAATCATATCTCTTACACATAAATTTTCTCTACTATCAAGCCACTTTCACAAAATTAAAACTGTTTTGAAACTAACAATGAAATTAATCTACCAATGAAGAACAATAGAGCAAAAGAAAATCTAAAATACAAATATTAAAAAGCCAATTGCATATAATAAACGAAAAAAACAACCACAAAGAAAGAGAAATGGCTCAAAAATTGAAACCCGAAAACATCAAATAAGAAAAAAAGGGATAAACCGGGAGAAATTGGATAAATGAATCCCTAACTGATGAAGATTAGAACATAAGTATTGCGGGATGGAGAAGAAAATTGTGGCTCAAAGTTTGCCTTAGAATTTTACGAGAGAACAAGAGAATGAGAAGAAGAAGAAGAAGAAGAAAAAAGAGTCTCGTGTTATCTAATTGGCTTATAAAGAGAAAGAAGAGAGAGAAAGACACACACCATAGAAATTAGAAACTGAAAAAAAAAAGAAATTAGAAAGAAAGAAAGCCGGAGAGAGATGGAGGGGGAGTGAGGATTTTCTTTATTTTTTCTTATTATTTTTTTATATTTTCAGAGGATATAAACGTAATTGTATTTTTAATTATCACTAAATATGTGACACGTACAATTTTCATCACTCATTGTAACAAAAGAATAAAAATTATTAATGAAACAAAATTTAGAAAGAACAGATGTTACATTTTAAAATTTAAATGACAAAGTATTACAAAGTCATAATTCGAAAACAATTTTTGAAATTAAATAAAATAAAAAATAAAAAGTACCAATAAGAAAGGAAGTGAAAGATGACCTAAAGTTCTAAAGATCAAAACTATAGGCCGTGTTTGAAATTAATTTCATTTTTATTTCACATTTTTTTAGGAAAAAAAATAAAAATGTATCAAAAACGACGTTTAGCATAATAAAAATAAAAATAAAAATAAAAATAAAAATGATTGTTTAGTTTAATATAAAATGAGAGAAATGAAAAACAACATTCAATCATTTTTTATTATTTATTTTTATTTTCTCTTCTCTTGACGAGAGTGAGATAAAGAGACATTAATAAATATTTTATATTGAAAATAATCTCTCGATAAAACTACCTAACTCATTTTTAAAAATAATTTCTGCTTAAAATTAAAAACGTTTTTATTTTTATTTTCATATAAAAAATAAAATCATTTTAAAATGAGTTTCAAACGCGTCCATAATATTTACAGAAGAGGCTCATGCTCCATGCACTAGGCTTCAAAACTAGCTATACATGAACCCCATATACATACATATATATATAGGTACACACACAAGGATATAGATGCACATACTACATACATATATTCATATAAATCTCATTGAAACACCACATGAAAAATGGACCAAATTTGTTCTTGTTATATATATATAATACGCAGTTGTGCGTCAAAAGATCTATTTTCACCTAGCACGCGTCAATTTGTCTTGTCATCAAAGACGAAACAAAAACAAGTAGATGGTTTCAGAAGGTCGAATTCTTTCGACGTGGTACTGAAAGAAAGGTAAGACAAAGTTTTCCAAAGAGAATATTGAATACAAACATTACATGGTTATAACAAGATAGAGAAGGTGAGGTGATCAGAGGAGAGTAGATGAGCAGTCCATGGGGAAGGGATTGTACATGATATTGTCCATGTAGTAGTGTCCGGGATGCGCGGTGTCCATCACGACGAATTGCATGTCCTCCGAGGGCTTCCAGTGGCGCTTCCGCTGGTTGATGAACCAGTTGTTTATCTGCTTTAAATCAAGACCGGTAGATTCCGCAAGTGCTAGTTTCTGAGCCTCCTGCATTCCATAACACATCACACATGTTTCATCACAACAAAAGCCTATTGTTACAAAGAAGACCAGATGCGTAGAAAGTAGGATTACTCTCACCATTACCCTCGAACATTAATGTCATTCATACTTTGCCCCTTAAACTTGAAGAACTCCCAACTTTTCCCCTTAAATTCTAAATTAGCCCCATTTAATCTCCTAAATTTTTGTTTAAAAGGGACTTGACAAGTGGTGTTTCGGTTATAATTTCTAATAAAAATAAACGGAAAATAATCACATTGACCACACATAATTGCCCTATTTTCTGTTTGTTTTAACAGAAATTCTTACAAAGAGGGTTGAGTATGACGTTCAAAATTCAAAGGACAAAATGTGAGTTTTCAAAGTTTATAAGGCAAACTAGGAACAACCCCAAAGTTCGGTTTTGCAGATGAGATTATTCCAAATTACTATCTCTATGTTACCAAGTCATTTAACAACTCTTCGATAGATGAGGAAAGAAAAAGCACGAGACAAATAATTTGCATTTAGTAAGGAAGATTGATTTTGGGGGTGTAGCTAGATATACCGAAGGATAAGGCCATTTGTAGTGTCTGCTCCACCAGTCAAGCAATTGTTGCCGGGCTTCCTTTGGCAGCTTTCCGTTCTTTTTCTTCTTCAGGAATTCCTGCTTGAGACTGCCGAGGTATCCGCTGTACTTGCGCAAGAGCTGAACTTTCAATTCCTTGTCTTCGGCTTGAGGATCTATGATACTATCATTCACGTCAACCTCTTCTTCGGAGGATCCATTTTGTCCAGCGAAATCAACACACGCTGATAATGCACAAGCAGGAAGAGAAAATCATTGTATTAATGTACGAGCACAAGGTTGACAAACTCATGTTTCATTGAGATCTACACATATAGCATAGACGAAAAAAACAAAAAATCCACTTGAAGTAGAGTTAAATACTAAACATTTCACAACAAACAAACAAAAAAAGAAAGAGAAAACGCCTCAATTAGACAAAACGCCTCAAATGCCTCGAAGCGTTCACGCCTTGAGGCGCACGCCTCATACCAAAAAAGAGCAAGAAATAGATGCGCAATTGAAACCTAAGCCTTTAATCGACCTTCGAGGCGCACGCCTTTTTAAACCATGAAGAAAAGGAGTGAACTAGCAAACTAAACCGTGCCCTACTTAAATCAAGTACCTCACGACTCAAACCACAGACTACTTAAATCATCCCACTATATATTCACATGCAAATTCATATCCTCTCAACTTTGAAATCATAAACAGTATACCACATTCATCAGTGATTTCCATTTTGTGAAATGAACGCATAGAAACACAAAGGCTCTAATATCTGAAAGATAAAAAATAAGTTGGACAATAGTAGACTATAAGATTTGATTCCGAAATTTGTACTATGCAGTCACAACGCGAATATCTTCATGACACTCTTGAATGCAGTAATTAAAGAAAAGGTACACAACCTAAGTAGATTTATTCCTACATTTTTTTTTTTTCAATTTTCTGTTACTTAAACTTACCACAGTGGAGATGATGAATGTGCTAATTCTGAGAATGCTGATAAATCAGACATCCTTGCGAAAGACCTTTAATGTTTAGCTTCTTGTCAATGAATAACATGTTTAAGTCTTTCTAAGTAAAGTTTCTATCGGTTTCCTTTCTCCCCAAAAAAAAAGCCAAAAATAAAGAGTTCTTTACGTGGTCTCTCTTGATCTTTTTTCACCAAGTCATTAAACCTCCTTGCCTACAATTGCGTATTTAATTAGAAGTCAGCTGAAAATTATGACTAAGGAACAGCCATTAGTCACATATCTACATAGCTTGAATAACCAGATTCACACAGATAATGAATACAGCCAATGAAGTGAATAAGTACTTTTACAAGGATAAACTACAAATGATGCCACCAATGATAGGATTAGAAAATGAAGAAAGGTCAAAGGATTGAGTTTTTTTAGGTAAGGATAAAGTTTTGTATTCTTTACTCGATTTGGAGCTACTTGTAAAAGATATGTAAAGTTTCGATATTTCACTTGAAAAGAAAAGGGCAAATATATTTAAGTTAAGGACATTTGGGGTTGTTGGCAAATGTTAACATAGAGAAAATACAAAACATGATCGTCAAGAGATTCACATCTATCAATCAACACACAAAATTAATTGCCTACAAATATTCATTTCATAAAAGATGGAGAGATTTGGCGCCTATTTATTTACTTCCAACTGAACATTTTCAAATGATGTTTCGTGAATAAAAGTCCTCATATGTTATACACAAAGTAGAACAGAAGATTTAAAATAATCTAGGTTTGACTAAGAAATAATAAAAAAGAATACAATCATGAGCGATTGCACTCTATATCCAAATTACCACATATAATATACAAAGAGAAATGCTAACGTCATTTATTTTATCACTCTTTGTCTCATTGTTTGACACATGAATGCCACTCTATCATTTCCTATTTAAATAATAATATATCATGTTAATAGAATTCGCGTGTCAAACAATGAACGAAGTGAGTAACAAAGAAAGTGACAAAAAAAGTGACGCTAGCATATCATGAAGCCATTCACAGGGGGCCCGGGGGGGGGGGGGGGGGGGGGAGGTTAAGACACAAAATGTGATGTTCATTTCTACTTAAGCAAAGCCAGAGGCTAAAATATTAGAGAAAGGCGTCAATCAACAAAAGATTTCAAAAATGGTTTCATCTACATCTCCGTACTTCTTTTCAAAATGCCATGCACATAAGGTTTAGCTAGGGAAGACACCTATCAATGTGAAATATTGGAGCATAGTATAGCAAACTTTCCCGAGCCTAGCAAAACCCTAATCACAACAAAAACATATGAATATAAGAATCGAAACATGTAGTGATTTCTCTTAGTAGCAAAACATGCTCTACCGCACACTAGAACCAACAAAAAAAGAAAAACAAGTCTTACCGCAGAATGAAGGACTTACATGATATGCTTAATATTCGCTTTTTGCAAATAAAGTATGGTCTTATGGTCTTACCCCATGAATCATGATGATCTACTCAAAAACGATCTGAGCAAAACCTACTCCAGATACCCAAAAAAAAAAAAAAAAAAAAAAAAGCACCACACACAAAAATAATAATAATAATTGGATGAGAAACAAGCTGAGTAAGCTGAGATATGGCTAGGACGAACAGGGGAGAAAAAAAAAAAAAAAAAAAAGGGCCCCATAAATTAAAAAATAATGAATAATTAATTTAAAAAAAAAAAAACGAGTTAATTACCCAAAGTACAAAATTATGTGTAGGTAGTTACACTTCTCCCTAGGAAAGCTAAAACATGCATAATAATCCTGATGATATTTTCAAAAATAAGAACAAGGACCTCATGTTTGTTTCAGAAGAGACTCCACATTTCGAAACAGTTTAGTAATAAAGGAAAAACATTTATAACGAGAAATAGGAAAACAAGATAAAAGAAAACAGCAACATTTGAATACACACACAGACATATATATAGGCATATGTATATATATGCGCATTTAAGATCATCACCAGAATCTGAGGCGGAAGAAACTGTTAGGGCTTTGAGCTGACACTCGATTTTAGAGAGGAAAAGCATGGCTTCCTTGAAAGGCTTTGTGAGTTCTTGCTCATATTTTGCCAGCATCTCACAGTAGGCTTCCATGAACTGGTCCAACGCAGGATCTTCTCCTATACAGCCTGTGGATGTTGTACTACTATTGCTACTTCTACTTCTCGTTGAAATTCCCATGGTGCCCTCGCAATTATTAGCACACGCCTCCTCTAACCTAGCCACCACTTCAGCTGGCGCTCCGACCTAAATAAGTAATTAACATCATCAGATCGTGATGATCCTGCAGGATTAAATAACCCTTCTAAGCAATTATTGCGTAAAAGCTTTTAATCACTTGCATGAACATATACATATATAGATATATACTAGGTATGATAGGTATAGAGACATACACAAACAATATATATATATATATATATATATAAATATATATATATATAAGATTGAAAGGACCTTTTGACAATTGGCGTAGGCGGTCAAGAGACGAGGGAAGAGAGGATGAGCCATGATCTTGGCTTTCATGGTAGAAACATTATTAGAAAAAGTATTAGTAGTGGTATCGGTGATATTGAGGTTGTCATTGGGCTTGAAAGGAGGACCACTTGATCCTGATCTGAGATGTTGTTGGTTGGGATTATTGTTGTGGGCCAGGCCGGGTCGAGGAAGATGGAGATTGAGCCGTGACGAGGATGCAGATGATCTTGATCTGTCTGCAGTACCACCAGAATTGTTGATCATTGAAGGCAGAATGCTATTATTATTGTTATTACTGTTATTAATATCCATCATCTGCAGCAGCGAAGAAGCAGCAGCAGAAGAAGAAACTCCACTTCCACTATTACTAATGTACTTATTCTGATCCCCAAACTCCATTATCACCCCCAGCTGAAGTAGCTCGTAATTTGGCTACACTAATTCTCAATCTCTCTCTCTCTCTCTCTCTCTCTAAAACCAGGCCATATATGATTGTGTCCCTAGAGTTCTTCTCCCGGTTTTTAAGCTAAAACTCAGAGTCTTTTTACAGAAAAAATCCCTAAAGTTTGCAGGGTTTTGCGCCTGTACTAGCCAGTCAAAAATTACACGATCAGGGCTTTTCTTTTCTTTTCTTTTCTTTTCCTTCTCTCTTCTTGGCTGGTCTCTGTAAAAGGTGGATTCAGAGACCCTCCCTCGGAAATGGGTACTTTTTCTTTTCTTCTCTTATGCACAAACACACACTCTCTCTCTCTCTCTCTCTCTCTCTCTCTCTCTCTCTCCAGTCAAGTATATTGTGTATTACCGAAAATAGGGAGAGACAGGGAGAGAGTTGAAGAGGGGGTTGGTTTAAAGACGATGGGGGGTGTGCACGCGGGGTTAACGTGTATCTCTGCAACTTTTCTTTCTGAATCCTCAGACCAAATTTCCTTCCCGATGAAAATCAAACTCCCCCTATTTCAACATATAAATAAATCTCCTCGTTTATTGCACCGCCACTGCCACTCACCCCCTCTCTCTCTCTCTCTCTCTCTACATTCAGTTCTACAGTGAGTGGGAGGGAAGAGAATGGGACATTTGATTTACAGTGAAGTGATAGCAAAATCTTTGCTTAAACGGGATCAGTAGAGCCACCATAATTAATGGGGTTAAGAAGGAATAGTGGTATATAGTAGTAGTCATTTGCCATCGGAGAACACAATGCCTGTACAGTAGTAGTACTACTATATCTACATGTTGATTGATGGTAATTGATCAAATCTCGACCGTCCATTTCTATTGTGATTGATGCTAGTCTCTGTCTCCGCACCTCCACCAATATCCAACCAACCAACCAATACCATTCCATATTATATCTGCAACTTCCATACCATTCCATATTATATATTCCCTTCTTGTGACTTTGGTAATTTTGTCCATTCTCCTCATCTCTTTCTCTTTGATTTTAATCTTCACTTCACATCTTCTACAGAGTAGATTTTTTAATAGGGAACAGAGATGGCAGAATTTCATCTTGTAAAAATAAATAAATAAATAATAAGAATTTTATAGTGGAGTATGAAGAAAATTATCTTTGATAATATTATTTTGTGACATGTTAAATCAGTATTATGTCATATTTATGAGATTTTGATGTAAAAATGGGTAATTGTTAAGAATCAGACCCCAAACTCTATATTAGAACAGGCGGCCGCAATGAGAGATTATATCCTTATTCAAACGCTACACAGTAATTCACTTTTATAAGAAATAAATTTATAAGGAAAAATTGCACACTTATCAACTCTTAAACGTTTTTCTCAAACTTCTTTATAACCCCAAAATGGGCACCCTTTTTGTAATGAAATTAGGACAATCAAATTTATAAAGTCGATCCTTAAATTACTCTTTTGTAAGGCAATAATCATCTAAACATAATTAAACTACACAACCTAACAAATGGAGAATTATGTCTCATTTATTTTATTATTTTAAATTTTAAATTTTTTTATTACAGTAAAAAATTTTAAAAAAATATCACATCTTAACTCAAATTAAAAATTTAAATCCATAAAAATTAGTACGTTTAGTTAGAGGATTCAAACCATGTGATTCGAACCATTTTCAATTTACGTAAATTTTTTATGAGAAAAAATATTATAATAAATCATGAATCATGATTCAAATAATGAATCTCTCCACCGAACATCATTTTAATATAGAAATTAAGCTCTCTAATCATTAAATACTGTCCTCTCTTACCCACCACTGTACTTTCCCTAGCCTATACAACATTAATCTTTATAAAATAATATTACCGCACTTTTACGCTAGTAAATAGTAAATATTAGTACGTTATAAATATTATACTAAATTAAAACAAGGGCAAACACGTGAATATGGGGAGATTTGACGAAGGGCATAAATTTTTTAAATCGTACACACATTATTTCCCGTCGGATAATTACTTGTCTTTAATAACTTTTTACTCGACTTATGAGAAAAATTAAATGAGATCACTAGTCGACCGAGAGTCATATCATTTGGGTCTAATCCATAATAATTAATTTAGAATAGAAAAGAAAGAGAGAGCTGAGAAAAGAAGGTCTGTGGGTCAGTCCAGATGTCACATCTTTCTATCTTATTCTTTCTTTTTTTTTTTTTTTTTTTTTCTTTTTCTCTCCCGTTTCAAAGAATTACGGTGTAATTTCTCGCCCCGTTTATTTCGTCGATTTGAATTTAAAATTTAAGTTTTGTTACAGTAAAATTTTTTTAAAAATAATCACATTTAATTTTTTTACTACAATAAAAAATTCTCATATAAAATCACATTTTAACTCAAATTATAAACTCAAATTAACAAGCTAAACGGGTCTACCTCTCTCACGCTCTTTTTATTCTTTTTCTTTTCTTTTTTTTCGCTAATGGTTTTTTATCTAAAAGCTCAATGTATGTATTGATATCGCTGCAGTTTGATACATTACGTAAGATCGTATAGTTCGGGGTCATGTCTGTACTCTACTTCAAATATTTAAATGCAGGTTTGATTCACAAATTTAAAATATGATTTAAAATTATTTAAAATTTATATATATTTTAAAATATATATATAAAAAACACAATTATAATTTAAATTATGATAATATCAAATACCCTCTTAATTCCCAGGTTCCATTGCATTTAATTCGTACGTTTACACGTACAATATGTAATATATATGATGATAGTAAGCAGAACAGTACCTTTTTTGTTTGTTTGTTTGTTTAACAAGGAGCAATTTGGGGGTTGTTTTTCTCTAGGCCCGTTTAGTTCGTTAATTTAAATTTTTAATTTGAATTGATATGTGATTTTATATGAAAATTTTTTACTGTAGTAAAAAAATTAGATGTGACTATTTTTAAGAATTTTTTACTGTAGTAAAACTCAAATTCTAAACTCAAATTGTCGAAATGAACGTGCCTTTCTTTTTCTTTTTTATTTTTTCTTTTGAGCTATAAGATAAGATCTTTGAGTTAAATGTGTTGTTCTATTCTTTAACGCTTAATTTCTTTCCTTAACATCTCCTAATCAGCTATTAGGTATCAGATCTTGAGGACTTTATTGCCCAAAACATTAATTTATCACTTAGATTAATATTAATAAGTTAACTATCCATTTACACGATGGAGTTTTCCCATGCATGCAATATTTTGGTCTGTCTTCTTTATTTATTTATTTTTCTTCTTCAGATATAGTAGTACTCCTTTTGATGTGATAGTGTATTTGGTATGGTAGAAAAAAAGAGAGGAAAGAAAATATACTAAGGCCCGTTTATTTTGCTGATTCGAATTTAGAATTCGAGTTTTGTTACAGTAAAAAGCTCTCACAAACAATCACATCTAACTTTTTTGCTACAGTAAAAAGCTCTCACATAAAATCACATCTCAACTCGAATTAAAAACTCGAATAGCGAACTAAACGGACTCAGGATTTTAGAGAGAAAAATAAAATTTAAAGTTGTTATAGAGATGTAAGTTTAGGCTGTCCGGTCAGGTTCAAAAAGAGATTTTGGGCCGGCCTAGCTTGAAATTTTATAATGTATTTTTTTAAAAAAATTTAAAAATATGATGTTTGAGCCGCGACCTGACTCTATCATAAAAGAGAGAGGATCGGCCCAGTCTAGGCCTAAGCCTAAAAAATTTAGGACCAGACCGGACTAGGGCTAACAGTAACGGGCCTTAGGCCGGCCCGTTTAGTCCAACCTAAATTTGCAGTTCTAGGTTGATTGGTAGAGAGAAAATGAGGAATGAAGGAAAATAAAAATCCATGTGGCCTACCCATTTTTAATCCTTCAAAGTTCCAACTTTAGGAAGAAACGAAGAGGGAAAAAGTTTGACAAAAAAATGAGATGTAAAATAATAATTTTAACTTTCACCATCATAATTTTATTTGTATTGAGGTATTATTGTAAAATGTCTTAAATTTGACATTTTTTTTTTCATATTTCTTTCTATTTTACCAAACAATATGAGAGAAAATCATTTGACTTCCTTTACCTAAGTATTTTATTTATCTTTCATTCTTTTTTATCCATCCTACCAAATATTCATCAGTGTTTACTTCTTTTTTCTACTATTTGTGAAAAGTTCTGGAGTTAGAATTAGATAAGCTTGTCCTGTTTAATTCTCTGATTCGAGTTTTTAATTTGAGTTGATATGTGACTTTATGTGATAATTTTTTACTGTAATAAAAATGTTAGATGTGATTGTTTATGAAAGTTTTTTACTGTAACAAAATTTAAATTTTAAACTCAAATAAGTGAAATGAAACTCTTGAGTCAATTCTAAGCATTTGCCAACTTCCGTGGGTTTGTTCTAATAACTCGTCTTTTTTTAACAGTAATAATAGTAGTAATAATAATAATAAGTAATAGTACTAAATTAATAACAGTAGTAGTAATGATAAAATCCGTGGATTACAGGAGGAGGTGGATGCTGATAATTATCCAATATTGTCAACCAACGCACTAAAGCATAGTTAATTTGTTTGTTTTTTTTTTTAATTAAGAAAGTAGCTCGGACATCGTGGAATTATAGCTATAGGATTCTTTTGTAAATAAATATATATTGCTGTAAGATATCTTTTATAAATTAAAACACGTATCAATATTCTTCATTTGCAATAATTTATTATCCTTCCGAATTAGGATGATGAGGAAACGATATTGAACCCAGCTTTGAACGAGAAAGATTGGAGAAAAAAAGGGGTCAAACATTTCAAACGAGAGATGAAAAATGGTTCTTTCTTTTTTCTCTCTTTTAAATTTCAGAGGAAAAAGAAAGCTGGGGTGGAGATGAAACGGAGAAATGTTATGGATGAGATGACACTTTGTCAACACCAGGCCCAACCTAGCAAGATTGTCCTGTCCTCCGCTTTAAGTCATTTCCATATCTATTGGAATCCACATGCCCATCAAAAGAAACGAACTTCACGTCCAAAAGCAAAAAGGATAAATAATCAAAATATATGAAAGAACAAGCATATGGTGCGTAATGCTTATGTCTATGGTTGCAAAAAGAAGAACATGAGATAATTCACCCAAAAAAAAAAAAGAGGAAACATGACATGAATATAAATAATTTAGGTCCTGTTTCACTTTATGAATTTGAATTGATAATTTGAGTTGAAAAATAAATTTATGTGAAAAAACACTTTAACAAAAAAAAAAAAAAATTTGAAGTTAAATTTTTATAAGAGAAAACACTGTAGTAAAAAGTTTAATTTGTAATTCGAATTGTGAAATGAACGAAACTTTAGAGTTCGTTTGGTTACTATGTTCAAAACAGTAGTTTTGATTCTAACTTTTAAAATTCAAATTTTTGATGAAAAAAAAAATATTATAACATAATTAAGAACTATGGTTTGAACCATACAAAACTCTTAAAACAAACACACTTTTAATCTTTTGCTTAGACATCGCATAGCATTAGTCTTTTGCAATATAACCGAGGATGAAACAGAAGGCAGTTAGGAGAACAATGATTTTGGTGCCGGTTAATTTTATAGTATCTACCATTAGATTTGCTTCCAGTAGAAAAAAGATTTACATTGAACCAAATGTCAAACTAGAACACAGTTGAGTAATGGTTTGTTTTTAATTAACCATTTTAAAGGTAACACAAGAGGTGCTCTATGTCTTGAAAATGATTTATAACCTATAAATCTGAACTAGCTGTTGATAATGCAAATAGGCTAATCACAAGACTGCTTTTCAATGCGTTCATCATCATATATGTAGCTTTTGAAAAGCATGATTAGACCCAAAGAATCCATTCAAAGTGCAATGGCAAATATCAAACTAGTTGGCCTGTACTCCAAAACCGTAAGAGGCATGCTTAAAATTTCCATTTGGTCATCATTATTTTCATAGTGGTCTTCTGATTGCAAATATATAGGTATCTTTGTAAGTGTAGCGTGACGATATGGTAACAAGATTTTTTCCTACACTGTTTATTCAATAATCTATTTGGATTGCTGCTAATATATGGTTTAGTTATTCAGACAAAGAAATTACTCATTCTCGCATTATTACTACCATACGAACACTTGTTACCACTGCTCGTGAAGGGTATTATTTCTATATTCTTCATAGAGCATCTATACCGGTCGCACTGGGAAACGGGGAAAAGAACAGAGATGGAAATGAAAAGCATATTCGCAAAACTTGTACCCCCAACTTAGACCACCCACCAAAAGCAACTATTACCTTTTAGGTTTAAGAGGGATTAAATCCATTTGCCACCTTGCGCATATGGACTCAAAAGCTTAAACCCTGTTCTTTTTACGGTCATGAATCGCAATTCAACGTCCTTGTTGTAGTGTTTTTTTTTTCATTAAAATTAAAATTTCAACTCAAATTTTTCACTCGAACCTTAAAAACTTCAAAGTCTATGAATTGTGCGATTACATTGTTGAGGAAGAAGACGATAATAAGTGACGTACACTAGATTAGGTTAGCTTTGCTTACTCAAGTGGTAGATTCATGGCATGCTAGGTATAACAATTGTTACAAGATAAAGATCAAGTAGCCTCAGCCATAGTCGTGAACATACATGACCACAGTCCAATCACTTCCCTCCTCTCTCTATCTATCTATCTATCTATCACTTCCAACGACTTCCATTTTCTAACGGTGCTTTAGTGGAAACCTTTGCATGACATTTTTTTGAATCATAGATACCACCAAAGAAAAGAAAATGAGAGGAAAAAAAAGTGAAACATTGACCCCTTCTTTTTAAAATTTGAGTTGAAAAGTCAATTTATATGAGAGAATATATTATAGTAAAAAATTTGAGTTGTAATTCAAGTTGGAAAAAGAATGAGGCAACATTTTACTATGAAAAGGTGACGACAGCAGCTACACCCTTCGCCGGTATTGAAGATGAGCGATTTTGCACAATTAATGAAGTATTTAACAAGTAGGTAGAAGGAAAGAGATCCAACAAGGACTAACTAAGAAAACCTCATGCATAACGTAAATTCATCGAAAGAAAATTAGAATGCTGAACAATTTATGTATGACGTAGATTCATCAGAAGGAAAATAGAACTGTGTTTAGCATAGAATATGCATTTTTTCTGAATGTGGACTGCTTGAAATTTGAGTACGACATGCAAACCTCCTAGAGCCTTTGGATGACAACTGAATTGGCTATCCCAGCCTGTTCTATGGTCTGGTCCAGATCAGTCAGCTTTCTGGGAGGAAACCCCATTGTCTGTAGTTGGTAACTTCTCGACCCGCCAGGCCTCGACGCATCAATGAAAGAGCGGACATCTCTGATTGTATGGCGGTGGTTGAAATGAGAAACCATGCGAGTACCATCTGCCAACCTCAGTTGAAGAGAGGTCGACGGCAATGACTCATCTACAACCAAACCCGTCGACAGTAATGGTGCGCTGGTCAGGGAAGTAGCAGCGGTGTTTGTCTCAGAGGCAGCTGATGAGGCACCACTGCTGCTACCAAGAGTCCTTCCCACTCCCTGAAAAGCAGTCTTCTGCTTCACTGGTTCCTGCACAAAGCAAGCGCGTACAGAAATTAAGCGGCAGTTTAAAAAATGAACAAACAAATCCACAGGAACTAAAGCAGATATGGGGACAAACAGTGTAGTCTTCTAGCCGCCTAATCATATCGACATGCACTGGGGTCCTCCTTCCGACTGGTTCAAGCTCCACTGGACATTCATTTTTCTTGATGCTCTGCAATCAGATAGTACTGTTCCGTGTTAACAGGAACATGTAGTTTTACCAAGACATGATACCAACGCAACCAGCTTTTCAGTTTGCTATTTTATGAAATCCAAAAAACTGACGATAGAACATACTTATCCAACATGGCTAAATTGATTTTATTAAGAAAAAAAAGTTCTATAGCCCCAAGAACAATCATTCAATACATAAACCGGGGAAAATTATTAGATAGGATTAGCAGTAGAGACCAGAATAAGTAGAGATAAGATTGTCTTCCTCATCCGCAGGAATTACACTTTGTTGCTTTCATCTGTATGCAATGGCCAGTAGAAAATTTAAAGTAAAGTTCTGCTTTTAAGCTGGGTGAAAACATGGTTACCTTACCTTTAAATAGGTTATTCAAAAGATAATATGCAGACTCTATAGACTCAATAAAACACACTCAAACACAGCTTTTGTGGCATAACATACAGAGAGGAAGCAGAACAAACCACTTTAAAGATTAAACAGACTGGCATTCAAAATTACCTTCAAGAAGGGGGCATTTGCAGGATCATCGAGTCGACGCAGTGGACCATCATCGACGGTGAATCCATTCGTCCAAAAAGTAATCGTGTGATGTACAGGTTCAGGCGGCTGAGGGGCAGATGGCACAGTCTCTCCCGAGAGCAATCTTGCTTTTCCAGTGAAGCTTTTCGAGCTCGAAGGTCGAAGTTGCTCGGGAGGTCCTTGTACAGCCGCAGACTGCTCAGCTTGATTGAAAATGGCATCCACATCATTACTTCTTTTAGGATCTTGTACAAGCATTCCACTGCAGCATCAAGAAGCATTCAAAGATACCATCTTTAATTCTAAAATCCTAATCGAAATCGATGGCTCCATAACGTTGTGCAATAGTATAAAGTTCCATGATCAGTTAATAAAGGGAGATTACAGAGCCCAATTACGATTTTGAGCATACTCCAAATGGTTAAATTATGCAAAGATTCTTTCTTTTTAAGTAATTTCACCCAATTTTGAATAAAACAGAGTCGGGTTTTTGATATCTTAGGGCAAAAGCAAAACAAACTAATTCAGTCATTGGAAGCAAAATGCACCACCGAGAAAACAGAAAGACACTCAGCACTTTCGCCATAATCTTGATTTTCCAACGCATTCTCGGAAAACAAACACAATTCAGAGAGAAAAGGAGTAAAGAAAGACGATACCTTTTCTCACCGCCAGTGTAGTACTCCTGGGGCTCATCCGAGTTCTCGTCGGAGGCATCATCAGCAGGCCGGTTCAGATCGGCGAGTGTACGGACGATACGTTCACGACGGCTCCCGGACGGCTTCGTGGTGGCCTTCTTATCCCTTGATCCGAGCTCGTAGGGCCGGCGAGACGGGGTGGGCGAGGGCGAGCGAGACCGCGACGGAGACCGCGACGGAGACCTCGACGGGGACTGCGAGGGAGAGTATTCCGGCGACTTAAAATGCGTCGGAGAGAAGGACGCGGGGATGTCGCCGCGTGCCATGGCGGCGGAGGCGGTGGCGACGGAGTTGTCATCGAGGAAGGTGGAGACGGCGGCGTCGAGGTCCCAATTGTGGCTCTCGAGGAAGAAGATGGCTTCTTCTTTGGAGGAAGAGGCGATCTCGCAGAAGGAGCTGATTAGGGTATCGTGCTGGAGCTTGGATTCTTGGGATTCCGTTTCCATGGCTGCTTGCTTTCTTGCTTGCTTAGGGAGGAGGCTTGCCTTACGAGAGTGAATGAATCTTGATTGCTTTAGGAGAGAGACATTTGTATCCTTCGTAAAAATAATAAGTAGAAAATAAATATGGAAATGATAAATAAATGAGTTAGTGGACTTGATTCATCCATTTAAAATTATAATTTAGAATTATTTTTAATTTATATATTTTTTATAAAAAAAAATATTATAATAAATTATAAATTGTAATTTAAATTATGATACGAATACACTAATTAAATGTACTTTTAAATTCGTCCCTAAACTTCTTTTTTCTTCTGAAATTAGGTTTTGTAGTTTATTTTGCCTCATAAATAGTCTTTAAACTAAAAAATATCTCATAAATAATTTCTAAACTCAAAAATATCTCATAAATAATTTCTCTATTAAATTTTGAATGAAACTGTTAATTTTATCTTATTAAAGGCTCCTAAACTATATTTTTTCTTTAAAAATGGTCCAAATGTTAAAAGTTATAAATCTAATCCCTAAACTAAATAAAAAAAGATATACAAAAAACAGTTCATTTTTTAAATAAATATATATAAAACATGCAAGAAGTTATACGAAATGTAATTCTTAAAATAAAAGATAGCAAAATTTAGTTTTTTTTCCTACATATATTTAACTTTTTTTTATCTATTTATTCACATATTTAACTTTGATAATTTTTCCAGTAATTATATTTGTCTGATCATATCAATAAATGTTCTCATATTATTATTATATGATAATAATTATTTTAAAAGCGTATATTTTTTTAAGGGTAAAAACGAATATTTTTATAAATATCTTTTGTATTATAACTATTTTTACCCTTTAATCCCCGAATATATCACTTTAGTTTTTTTTTATTTTCTTATAAAAAATTTTTTTTATAAAAAAAATTAAATTACAAACAAATTCAACTCAAAATAAAACATAACGTTGAAAACCCAACACATTCGAAATTCAACTAAGAAGACAATACTTATATATAGCTTCCTCATTCTTTAAAATCTTTCAACACAAAATTAAGGGGAAAAGGTTCCCTAAAAAAGAGTAAAAGCAATTAACTGCAAGTCACAATCCATAATACAACAAAGTGTATTCCGCGATAACTTTATAACATTGTTTTTACTATAATAAAAAATAAAAATTATTATTATTATCTCAGGTTATTTATAAATTTAATGGGTGTTTATAGAATCACATATTTTTTTTTTTTTGTTTTAGTTTAGGGACTATGTTTAGTACAATTTCTCATATTTGATTTTTTTTACGTCTATTTATTAATAAATCAACTAATTTTGTCATTTTTTAGGTTGAGAGATTAAATTTAGTACAAATTTTACTATTTAAAAAAAACACACTTCATGGACTCTTTATGAAATAAAATTAATAGTCTACATCTAAAATTTAACAGAGATATCATTTATGAGATACTTATTAAATTTAGAGATTATTTTTTTAGACTAAATTGACTACAGGGATTAAATCTAAAAAGAAAAAAAAAAGGTTCAGGACTATAAATAAAATTGACTAAATAAATATGTTGACTGTCGTTTTTGCCTTTTTAATTTTGCTGCCGTTTCGATAGAAAATACATGTCGTTCACAGTTCACCTTACAATAAAAAATATACCATCTTTTAAGCTTAAAGCGATATGTAGCTCGTTGATAAAAATATCCAGAAAAATAAGTATAACCGTTGTAGACTAAATTTCATTGTCAATTGTCGTCAACATGAGAAACGACATGTAGTTCTCCTCCAAAATGTTGTCGCTAAGCTTAAGAACGAAAAACAACGCGTGGTTAACTTTTTCCTATTGCTAATTCTAGTCGGTGAAAACTGGGTTCACGTTTTAGAAGTTTTCTTTAAAAAGAAAATATGATAGTGTCGTTTGTGTAAGGACATACTTATGCCATAAAACTTTTTTTTGTTGTTCATTAATGCAAACGACATGGTTTCACTTATAAATTATAGAAAAACGACATCGAATATGTAAGTCGTTTATTGTTACACTCGCTTTGTCAACAAGGAAAAAAAATGTGATTATTTTATTGTCAATTTCTTCGACGTAAGAAACGTCATGCTTAGTTGCCTAAACTTTGAATGTCGTTGACTCGTTGGCAAACAAAAAGGACGTGTTGTAGTTGTTCCTAATTTTAAATTCGACTACATTTTTTCTAGACATGAGATGGAATTTATCTTTTGGTTATTTTAGTGCAGGGAATGCCTAAGACCCTTTGATCTAATTCCTGATTTAAGGGATTTTAATCAACCGTAAATATGAACCATTTCTATAGTTACTCATTTTGTAGTTTCCTATTTCTGCAGTTACTCTTATTCAAGCCATTCTTCAACTTTATGTTTCTTTCAATGTCTTTTATGATATGTTGGTTCAAATTCAAATTTTTCCAAATTCGTTTGAGTCAAAAGAGTTTGTTGCCTTTTTCTATAACTAAACGACAGGTAGTTAGCATACAAAATTTTGCTACATAAGTAAAAACGACATGTTGTTTTCACATACAAGTTTGTTATCCTAGCATCCTTAACTTGAAGAACAGAGATATCTTTTAACGCCTGAAATTTGGATGTATTTTACCAAAAAAGAAAAGAAAAAAGAAAAAAGAAAATGAGAGAATGACGTTAAAAGGAAGAGAGAGGGGGAGAGACGGTGAATCTGCAAATGCAATTTGGAATGCTGTTAAAGTTCATCACTGAATACAATAATCTTCCCATGAAGGAGACATCCCTCAATCATTTCTGCTCTAGAGAATCAGTCAAAGAGAAGAATAGAACATTCAGAAAAGTGCTTATCAAAGTATTTTTCCTTTTCTTTTAAAAATTATGACCGATAGATTATCATCCTTTCAGTTTTCACAGCTCATAATTCATTATTCTTCATACAACATTGACTACCATAGTTAGTGTGTCCTTCAAGCACCACGATTGAAACTGTCTCCCACGTTGGAAAGGCGAGGAACAACAACAGGCACGCCGCGGACTTTTTCAAGAGCAAAACTTATCCTCAAAGGTCGACCCAGCAATGCCTGGAACCAAAAAATTTGACGAGTCACATAAGTTGGAAAACATGATTTTGGAATAGGTGATAATTATTGACGCGACGGAATAGATAGAACGGGATTTTATCAGCTAAATTTGGACGGAAGACGGGACATGTAATCTCAAATCTACCTAAAAGAAACCCCACAAGGAGAAAATCCTTAATTGGAGAGAAAACTCAAGTCTAATTCAATTATCAAAATATTCAAGTCCCCAAATACAATAGCTTAAGTGGCTATTTATAGTTCACTAACAAAATGATAACAAAATGATAACAAAATAATAACTAAGATAAATGACATAATAGTAACAAAACTCAGCTAAATTCTTAAACTAGAACAAACGACAATAAAATATAAAAACGACCACTAATATTCAAATATAACATGGACAAATTTCAAAATTCCCCCCAAATTTCAAGAATTCTCCCTTAACTTTGGTAAATGTCTAAATATGCTATTTAAACTATGAAAAAAAGACACACACCCGCTGAACCTATTATTGTGATAAAAGCACTCTTTTTGTTAAGCTTCACTCAATATCGGCATTGAAATTATCATGTGTGAGTCACATAAACTAATTTTAAACGACAAAAATATAGAACATTAGAGGTTGGAAAACTAGTCATTGTTGAATACCCTTCTCTATTTTCTTTAAACTAACCATAAGCTCTAGTTGCTGGGAAAAAGAAAACTAAGAGAAGCGTTGTTTATAATTTGGTCACTTAAAATTAGTCCATGTGTCTCATATGCAAATATTTTTTCATTTAAAAATTCAATACTGGACAAAAAAGATGTTTTTAATCAAAATTTCAAAGTTCATGATGAGAGTGTATCACTTTCTAGCATTTGATGATCATAATGAGACGGTGATTATTCAAATTCGGGGGAGAGTTTCTAAATCCATTTGTCCACGTGGCTATTTCCGTCAAAAAATTGGACAGAACTTAATAGAACGCGTGGTGTTGCCACAAGTTAAAAGTCTAGGTGGTATAAACACACCACTTTTCACAATGAAGCATACTAAGGCCCCGTTCATTTCGCTGATTCGAGTTTTGCTACAGTAAAAAGTTCTCACAAACAGTCATATCTAACTTTTTTGCTACAGTAGAAAGCTCTCGCATAAAATCACATCTCAACTCGAATTAAAAACTCGAATCAACGAACTAAACGGGCCCTAAGACAATAACCAATGTTCAGGAATAACTTTTGAATTTTGTCCCAATTCCTAACTATATTAACTTATTAACATAGGCCTTGCTTACCTTTCCATCCATGGAATCTTTTGCACTTACAGCATCTTCTTCCTTCAAAAAGTGAACAAATCCAAAGCCTCTAGACCGGCCGGAGTCTTTATCATACAGTATCCTCACTGGACATAAAATATGGGCAGGATTTAGAAGTCACATCATATTTTTCTAGTACATCTAAAAGAGATTTCAGAAGGCCGGCCAAAAAAAATTCATAAGAGTTAGCTTCTTACTGAAGTCACAAGTCATAACACATCCAACTTGGTGGCTGAGAAAAATGTGCAGTGTTTTTGTGACACTCTTTATTGCTCTCAACCTATGCAATTATATTAAGCTGACCATTCTTCCCTAATCTGATCCTCAAAAAGCTGCTTATTTTATTTTTAGCTTTTGATCCAATTTTCATTTGATTCTGTTACTAATAACAACCCAAAAACCAAAATACTTGAGAAAGCCAAAAAAAAAAAAAGTAACAACTAAGAGCCATTTGATCACTCAGGCATTTCTACAAACACATAGACTGCAAAATCGAATGCAAGAAGAATTTGTCCTTGTAACACTCCAATGAAAAACTGAAAACATGCGTTGTTACCTTCACTGACCTCCCCAAAGGAAGAGAAAGCGTCTTTCAAGGACTTCTCGTCCACCGACCACGACAATCCTGAAGACCAAAAAATCCACCATATCAGCAAGTGAAACAAACCAAAAGCATTAGAAAGAAAGAAACAGAGATGGGCAGTTGGAAAAGGAAAAGTAACCTCCGACAAAAAGCTTGTTGTTGGAGGTGGTAGAGGACGAGGACGGGGACGAGGAAGGGGAAGAACAAAAGCACCGCAAACCCAGAAACGGGTTTTGAAAAACGGGGATTGTTGTTGTGGATGCGGCTCTTCTAGCAAGTGAACTCATCAATGTGTTGCTCATAGATGACATTTACTAGCTTCTATGTTTTCTGCTTTCACTTTTTCTCCCCTCTTTCCCGGTAAATAAAGAAGAAAATGAGAAATTGTTACTGGGCTTTTGTATGGATGACAAAAGCCCAGATCTTTAGGCCCCTTGTGTTAGTTGGTCTAACTGTGTAGAGTTTTGAAAATTTTAAGGCTGATTTAGTTTGTTGATTTGAGTTTTTAATTTATTAAGATGTAATTTTTTGTAATAATTTTTTTATTGTAGTAAAAAAAAATTAGATGTGACTGTTTTTGAGAGTTTTTTACTATAGTAAAATTTGAATTCTAAACTCAAATCAGTGAAATGAACGAGACCTTAAAATACATTGAGAAAGACATTTTTTAACTGATCTATTAAAATATAAGTTTGTGCCACCTAAAATTATTTTTTAACTGACCTATTAAAAGACATTTTTCTTACTATGCTATTTCAATAGTATAAATATTAGTTAATACTATATTAAGTAATATTTTTGGTTTTCTCCCTTTGAATTGTGATCTTTTTTTTTTTTTTTTTTGGTTTTTTTTTATAAATTCCAATCACATAATTTTTTCATGGTAGGCATGCTTTTTTTTTTTTTAAAATCATAGTGGCATTGAGCTTACTACCTCCTAAAGATTTGGTAGGTTTAAGGATAACTCGTAAGTGCGCATAACACGCTTGAAACTATATCCTGGCTACCCGAACTCGATTGTACTTGGTAGGAATGAGAAGGGGAGGGAAGGAAGATGGAGAGATTTCAGGTGAAAAATTAATTTAAAAAAATGCATTTTTGGTAGAATAAAAAAGAGAAAGAGAAATTAAAAGAGGAAATAATACAATTGGGACCAATCATATTTAATATCCACAAGTTAAAAGAGATTTTAAGAGCAAAGTTATCGCACTTGCCATTAAATAAAGTAATTTTTTCAATCTCATTTTCAAAGTAATTATTCACAAACTCATTTTCTCTCCCTCTTTTTCTTTCCATCATTTTTTCCCCACCTTAGTCCCTTCGTAGAGTTGAAGTGACGCACATCATCTACCGACATAAATAGCTATGATTTAATTTTTTTTTTCATGACAAAAAAACTATATATGCTTGTTCCATCAATTAAAGAGATAAAGAGAGACATTCAAGGATCAACCTGGGATATGCTTATTTCCCCACAACTGATACCCAGGGAAAATCACTAAAGATGCGAGTGACATGGATGAAATATATTTTGCAGGTACATTGCCGAATCCACATCTTTCTTTTAGTTCTTTTAAACAAAAAACAAAAAAAAGAAAAAAAAAAAGAAAAAGAAACTCTCTTTGCTTGAATCTTTATGAAGTTCTTATTGCGAAGCCATACAGATATAAAAACCAAAATCAGTTGTTGCAAGCTGCAGCCTAAGCTTGTGCTCCGAGCTCCAGAATTAAAGTTTCATTGATTGCATTTGCCGTTGAACCAACAAACTGAACCGAACCTGATGAATAAAGTGCATGTAAACAGAGATTTTAGAATGAAAGATGGAATAAAACTTTCTGTATTTCAAAATTTGGTACCATGCCAAGGGTGACATAACGAACCTGGATTGACATAACGATTCTTCAGGGTCCAGTCGTCCCTCAAGGATGCAAACTTTTTGAATGGTGCACCTGATATTCGCATATTCGAAGTTAAGCGAAAAAACTATTATAGTAAACGTGACAAAATATAGAGTTATTCGAGTCACGATTGAGTAATTTAGGCCCCGTTCATTTCGTTGATTCGAGTTTAGAATTCGAGTTTTGCTACAGTAAAAAGCTCTCACAAACAATCACATCTAACTTTTTTACTACAGTAAAAAGCTCTCATATAAAATCACATCTCAACTCAAATTAAAAACTCGAATCAGCGAACTAAACGGATTAACGTTGCGAATTGGCCGCAATTGGGGGTAAATAGAAGAACTCTGCAAAACTAGGAAGGTAGAAGAGAATTACCTTCAAGCTCCACCATGGCCTTCTTAATCACAGGCTTGAACTTCCCTACAAAATTGAAGCTCCAAAAAGTTAAATCATATCCAATGAACTCACAGAACTAGGTCCTAATTGATCACAATTCATGGTGGTGAAAAGGGGTGTTATGTTATCTTGTTAGTATACCATGTCTTCTCTCCACATCCATTAAGGACGTCAATGATGTTCCACCAACAGTCCATTCCTCAACTGGAGCACCCAAATTCCCCACCTGTTAGAACAACCAACATAGTAAAGCAATTGAAATATATATATGTATATATATATATATATATGTATATGTGTATATTTATGGACCCCACCATTATTGTCAAACAAAGATAGAACTTCGTCGGAAAAGAAGGATTTTTTGACACTGTTAGTCACTGAACTCTAAGTCAAGATTAAATAGGAAAGAAAGAAACAAACTGAAGAAATCAATCCAGTCTTTCCAGAATGAAGGAGGGCTCCAGCAGCGTAGCCCAATGCATAGCAATAGTTCGCGTCAAAGTTCGAAGGCAAACCGCATCTACCCTCATAGCTGCATAGTAAAAATGTCATGTAAAAGGTTTGAATCATAATTATGTTTCTAAAAAGAATGGTGCTAGGGATCCAACTATTGGCAGTGAGTTGTTACCTTTTTTCATTGGTAGATGCAATTTTTAATATCAATTGACACGACAACTTTTAAATACTTACTAATAAAATAATGTTCTATTGACAACTCTTATGCAGAGTGAGTTGGTATAAAAAAGTGAGATAAGAGTTGGATCCCTAACATTAAATATATTTTTTACTAATCTTCTAGTAAATATATTGTATAAATGTTTATGGTACCCAAAAAAGTGAGACTGTCCTTGGAATTGCCCCTTGTATTTGCCCTCATGTTTCCTTTTATTCAGCTCAGTTTCCACCATCTGAATAAGCATTTTCTCTGTCTCTATCCTGGCAACCTAAAGGCAAGAGTTCAAACCCCAATAGGGAAAAAACTTGAAAAGACTGTCATCACATTGTGTAAGGTATGAATCATAGACATCCAAAATCTGCCCAACCTGCACGTTCCCATGTGGGTCCCTCTCAAGAAGCAGTTGCTCCTGAATTTCAGGAGGCAAAAACTCAAAGAGGTCGAGCGATTGGCTGCAGAGTTTCTTCTTCCACGTGCCTTCTTGGTCAACAACATCATGAGCTAGGATCTCATTGAGCTCTGCAATTAGTTGCTGTACCTGAAAGATTAATAAGAAAAACCCAGAAATGTACAACTATTTTAGGATACCAGAATTTCATTAATATATTTTTGAGATTAACTTCCATGATCTGCTACTCAAAGTAAATCATACCTCGGGGATAAAATCAATCAGGCCCTCTGGAATAAGTATGACTCCGTAATTGTAACCAAGTTCTGCGCGTTTGCAGATTATTTCTGTAATGTAGTCTGTCACATTCTTGAGTGTCTGCTTCTTAGCAGCAACCTATGGCAAAACAAAGCTTAGTCAAAGAATAAAGCAGGAACTTTCTAGCCAGATCATATCGAACCCGCGAAAATCAGGAGCTATTTAGTACAATCTTATAGTAAATTGCAGTCCTATGCGTTTTCTTCCTTGAAAAATCAACATTTAGCGTAGAAATTGAATTAATGAACGTTTCCTAATAGCAGACCAGAAAAGAAAGAAATAAGAAAATGAGAAAAAATTACCTCTTCCCCAATAATTGTAATGTTTGGATGCGTCTCCAGAGCACACTCCAAGGTTATATGAGAAGCTGCCCGACCCATAAGCCTCACAACTGCAGAGACAAACTCTTAGGACTACAACCAATAATAGAAATAATAAATATGTTTTAGAGAAGCACTGATTAATTTACAGAGAAAGTGGATATTCTTGAACAAACATTATGACCAAGATTCTGAAAAACTAAAATTACATTTGGTTCAAGTGTTTTAACTCAAGTGCTACTTTGTTTATATCTTCCACTTGTGATAGAAAACGTGGAACCATGAAAAACCTATGTGACTTTGCAGACTTTCATCAGTAAGTGGTGCAAAACCTTATTTAATCTGAATTACTATACAACAAGAGATCTTACAGTGGTAATATTTCCCAGTCGAACGTGCATCTATCATCACATTTCCAATCATTTCTGCATATATCTGCGTCAAAAAACAGTTTTCTTGATGAATATCATCTGTTGCAATTGTTATAAAGTACAAAACGAAGAGTGTAGTATATTTCTGTCTGTTATGCATGAAAAGACACAGAATTTACCTTGCATGCAGTGTCAAATCCAAAACTTGTGGGAACCTCTTTGCATTTGAGATCACCGTCAATGGTCTTCGGACATCCAGTAACCCGTGTTTTCAAATTTTTACTCCTAATAATTAAGATATACAATATTCGCGTGAAAAACTCTACATGATCAAGAAAATGGAAAATTTTAAACAACACAATCTCCAAAACTAATCAAGTAACTGCACAAATCCAGAGACCGATCAGGGCAAAGAACTTTAGAAGAATATTTTCTAGAAAAATAAAACTATACCTGAAGTTTTCTGCAAGGAGGCAAGCATTAGTGTTTGAGTCATCCCCACCAATGACTACAAGCCCATCCAGGTCAAGCTTCTTTGCTGTTTCTTCAGCTTGCTTAAACTGAAATACATCAATTACTTCACCAACTCAGTAAATACATATCCAATTACTAATCGTAAAAAAAGCAAAATTTGATTTGATTTTTTTATTTTAAGAGAGTATTTAAGGTGAAGTGGTTGAATTCACCTGTTCAGGAGTCTCAATTTTGTCTCTACCACTACAAATCATATCAAAGCCACCCTGTTAAAAAGAGTTCGTATAAGCTACAAATCCTTAAAATTGAATTGAATAAACATGCTCCTAAGTTCGTAATATCTTTTTAGATTAATTACTAAAAACATCAACCAAATAACCGTCGAAATGTTCGAGTAAAAGTAATTAAAATTTAACCAAATAAAAATAGTTGAAATTAACTTTTCAATAGCAGAAATTCTACTTATCTAAATGATAATAAACAAAAGCATACCTGATTTCTGTAGGGATAGACAAACTCTTCAGATAGCTCAATATATTTACACTTCATGATCCCAGCAGGACCACCCTTAAATCCATACAAAGTGCTTCCTTTCGTGCGTTGTTGTAAGTAATCTTTCAAAGAAATGCAACATTACTTTAAATAAAGGATACAAATTGATATTGCTTATTAATTTGAACATAGTAATCTTACCAAAAATCCCAGAAATCACATTGTGTCCACCAGGGGCTTGTCCTCCAGACAGGACAACTCCAATAATCAGACTTTGATCCGCTGCCGCCCCGGAAGTAGTAGCCGACTTGAGCATTGCCGAAGGCTGTCCAAATAGGTTTGGAAACAACTTTGCTATCTCTTCTGCAGTCACAATTGGCTCATCACTTAACTAATTATCATATAAAGCAAAAACTAAAATATAGACGATAATTTGACGACTAAGTTGCAATGGCAAGTTGGCAACAATGACTCTCCTCGGAATGTGAAGCTGTGGTGGCGGACACCAAATGAGGACATGCTGAAAGGCCGTTGCAAGATCAACGCCTTCATTGGTCCAACTAATTCGACATTTACTCACTGCATGTAAGCTCTACATAAATTCTACACTACTTATGTAATGCACTCGAAATTTTTGTTAAAACCTCACTTTACAGACTCGTAAAACGATGGTGCTATAGTTATACTTTTAACTAGTTTTCAAAATTGGTTTTTAACGAAGATTTAGAGAGTTTTAACAGCGTATTCCATCAGATTTCTTGAATATTGAATAAATATTGCGTTCTTCTTTTGTACTTGCAAAATGCCAAAACTAAACATCATAAAAGACCAAAGAAAGAAAACGATAACAATAATAGTAATAATAACACTCCACAGTGAAATTAGTGAAATTAAAAATGGCGGATCGTGTGCTAGGCAATCAGCATTATATTTATCAAATTTCGTGTTCAGCAATGTGCCTATAATACACTAATTAGGAGAAATACAAAAAATCACTAATAATGAGCACAATCAATGGGCTTCATACATATACAAGTTTCAATTACAAAATTGAGTAAGCTAACTAAGGTCTCGTTCGTTTCGCGGATTCAAATTTTCAATATGAGTTGAGATGTGATATTTTCTGAGAGTTTTTAATTATAACAGAAAAAGTTAAATGTTACATACAGTGAAATTAGTGAAATTAAAAATGGCGGATCGTGTGCTAGGCAATCAGCATTATATTTATCAAATTTCGTGTTCAGCAATGTGCCTATAATACACTAATTAGGAGAAATGCAAAAAATCACTAATAATGAGCACAATCAATGGGCTTCATACATATACAAGTTTCAATTACAAAATTGAGTAAGTTAACTAAGGTCTCGTTCGCTTCGCGGATTCAAATTTTCAATATGAGTTGAGATGTGATATTTTTTGAGAGTTTTTAATTATAGCAGAAAAAGTTAAATGTTATATTTTTAAGAGTTTTTAACTGTAAAAATTTAAAACTAAAAACTCAAATAAGTGAATAAAAATAAACCTAAAACTCATAATAAGCATAACTATATACAAAATGCTAACTTTAGGGGAATGGATCGTTGATCAAGTTGAAAAATGTAGAAAATGTTTTATATACGTGAATGTATACATGTATGAAGAGAGTGAGAGTGCGGACCTGGATTTCCAGCAGCAGAGCTAGGAGGGCCGTCGACGAGATTGAAGGGGTTTCTTAGAACGCAAGGAAGAGGAAGGTGAACGTCGAGGCGGCTGCTCTGGACCTCGCTGTACTCCGACAACGATCGCCCCGCCCCAGCCGCCTTGCCGGTGCTCGCCATCTCAATGATTTCTCACTTTCTTCTTCTTCTTCTTCTTTCGTCTGAGAGAGAGATGCTGGTGTGGTACGTATGTGTTATGACTGTGAAGCGTGAGTCGGTTTTTGGCTTTTCCGTAATTTTATTCTTTTTATTATTTTTTTAAAAAAAACTGATTTTCACTTTCGGAGAGTTAGTTAAGAAACGATATTGTCGAGCAGCGAAGAGTCATAGTGGTGCACCCGCCAAATTTGGGATCAGACTCAGTGGTTGTTGGTAGTAGCCTTGAATGGTTCAGTGAGAAAAAATTGAAGAAAATAAAATGGAAAAAAATAAGAACATTTGGCCAGACATGTCCTCGTGGATTAAGAAAAAGAAAAGAATTTAATAGTAAGGAGAATTATGTTACGAGGTTTACATAAATACAAATTACAATTATATAATCGAGTAAACTACCTAAATTATTAAATTTATAGATTTTTTAAATATGAAAATAAACAAAAATAAGTAAAGATAATAATTTAATTTTTTTTCTAATGACGTGTAATAATTTAATTGTGTTATTAAGGATGGTCGAGATGTGTGGTGGCCTAACAATAAAGAATTGTTATGGTTAGATTTTGTAATACTCGAGATTTAATTAAGCCTTAAGTTAATAATAAATAAATTTAGTAATTTAAAATCATGGTGGATTTATTATTTATCTCAAAGTTATTTGTTTGCACTATATTTTATTATTATAGCTATCATATGATTTTATTAAATTTATGGCTTTGCTAATTAACTTTTCAATTTCAATGTGCAGTGCAACTAACTCGATCTGGTAACTCAATGTGTTAAACTTATGAAGAAAAAATGATATTTATTATGATTATTTGATATGATATTTTACCTCTATTATAATTGATTTAATGATGAATTATTATTTTATATTTTTATTATATGATTTTATGTAAATGTTTTGAGGACTTAGTTGATATTTTGAGTTTTTGTGAGAGAAAGCTATGTTAGCAAATTGAGTGAACTTTAGGCACCTAATTGCAGAAGAAAAATAGAGACTTTAGAGCTGATTTTATGAGGTTATGACAGCTATTAGAGGATTAGAAAAACCTAGACACTTGTCTTACTATAAGGTCACTTTACTTTTGCTTGGTTTCTATCATGTTTAGACTTCATTTTTGGGTATATTTAAGCAAAAATGCCTAGAACTCCGACCATAACATTTTCTTCTCTCTTCTCACTCTTTTTCTCACCCAAAACTCAGAATCAAACCTAGGTTTTCAAGAGAGATTGAGCTAAAAACTCAACCAGCCCCTTTCAACTCGTTTTTAACCTAGAACCAAAAATAACCATCAAGGTTTTGAGCTTCTTTTCACTTGGGAACAAGTTTTTCTTTGAGGTAACTTCTTTCTTATGTTACAAACTAAGATTTCAGAGATTAAGATGTTGAAATCCTTCTTGAGATTCAGATTTTTGATGTGGCTTATCCTGCATGTTGGTTGTAGACCCTTAAAAATAAGTTTCTTATGGTTTTGGTTCAAATATTAGTTTTTGGGTGAAAATAATGATTTTAGTTTGATATTATTGATGATTATTTGAAGATAAACTATTATTAGGATGATGATTCATGTATTTGAGAGTGGGTCTTTGAAGATTAAGATCTGCATGCTAGGTATTTGATAAAATGTTTAAATATAAGTCTTATGTACAGCTTATGTAGATTATGTTTCCGTGCTATATATTTTTCTATTAAATTATACATCTCAAACTTTACGTGAGTTTTTGAATCACACTAAACGGATTTTTCTACATTTAGTTATGAATTTTATAAGTTCAGCTAAAAAGCTGTCATTTTCCTAACGAGATTATACTTCAATCCGGATTTCGGACTATTTTTGGTTAGCTTAAAAAATCTGAAACCTATCATGTAGTAGCTCTAAAAAGAGAGTTTTGAGTCTACTTTTATTTACCACTGGTATCATAATATTTTGAGGTTTGATGAATTTGTTATGAATATTTTCGTAACAATGCGCAGTTATGTGTTTTGTTAAATGATGATATGAATGTGATTTTTGAAAGCTATGGTTTTTACATTGAAGGCTCCCCACAACCAGCTAGTTTGTGCTTGCAAAGTGGTGATCGAAATTCAAATAAGTAGGGTTAAAGCATTTTTAAAACTGCATCACAATACCTATTTGACGAAATAACTTGTTCAGAATTGTGATTATGTAAGTTTATTCTCTTATGAAATTCTTATATGATTATGTTCAAAGAGCATTTATGATTAATTATTTTGAAAGAGATTATGATATTTGCTTATTATGTTTTTATGTTTTAAGATATTTTATGGTATGGTATATGGATGAGAGGCTGGGGAAGCAGGGGCGCGAGGGACCAGTGCCTTAAATTAGAGTAACTGTCTCTTTGAGACAACTAGAGAAAAATGCTAGTGGGAAGTCTCTTGTTGATCACAAAAGAAAGAGAATTTTAAAAAAATCTCGCTTAGTGTTTAAGAGAAGAGAATTGGCCAAGATTAGAAAATGTCCTGTATAGAAAGGCTTACTTGGAACTAAAGTTATGTATCATACCTAAACTAGAAATAAGTATGGAAGTTTATGAACAATGTTTAACAAAGAGATTTCAGCTACGGAGATTTTAGATACTTACTTTATTTGAACTCTACTTACTGAGTTTTTACTTATTAGTTTTACCTTGTGATACAGATGATGTTGTTGTTACCGAAGAGTAAAAAATGATTTCCAAGGTTGGCTGAGTACTACAAGTCCTACGTCTGGCATCTTGCTTATATGTACTTCCAAACAATAGATGGGCCCAAAATGTTTTTTTTTCGTTACTATGTCGGTTTTGAATAACTGTTTAATGTTTACGATTTGTGGTTGTAATCATTTTATGCACTGACTCATTTTGTTCAAAATCCTTTACGAAAATCTTGTGATGAAATTAACCACAAGTTTCCGCATCTTAAAAATGACATTATTTTAAGTATAAAAAGTATGTTTTAAGTAGCACCACTTCGCTAAATTTGGCCTTAGACCCGTTTAGCGTTGGGGGTGTTACAGTTTTGGTATCAGAGCCCAGTGTTTAATGTTTCTGAAGACATCGAAGTACATATAGACTAGTGGTTGGATAAGAAACTCAGCCAATCAGTAATGTTTATGATTTTCAATGTATAGAATAATATCTTTATGTTTTATATTACATTTACATGGAAGTATATTTATTATTATTGGATTAAATCTAAAGGTTAAAAATGGGTATTGTAGCAAAATGCCTCTTAAAAGATATGCTAGAGATCCCCCGAATGTTTACTGGATTAACTGCTTTAATTCAGCTGCAGGCTGATCAACAGAGACAGCAAAATGAGTTTATGAGACAACAAATGCAAATGCAAGCTCAACAGTTTCAGCAACAAATAGAGCAGTTTCATAACATGATGGCACAATAAAGAGCCCAGCATACAAATCAGCCTCCACCTCCCCTTCGACAACAAAGACAAGATAATTTAGAACGTGCTTATGAGCATTTTAGGAAGCATCGTCCTAATGATTTCCACGGTGGACCTGATCCACTAATTGCTAAAGAGTGGATGAATTCTATAGAAAGTATCTTTGACTACATGGTTATGGAAGATGCTCAATGAGTTTCCTGTGCTATTCAATTGCTAAAGAATAATGTTAGGCATTGGTGGGCATCTATTAAGTTGACTCCAGCTGCTACCAACCTTATGTGGAATGGTTTCAACGAACTGTTTTACAATAAGTACTTCACTTAGAAAGTAAAGAAAAGTAAAGTGGTTTAGTTTGTGGGATTAGCATAGGGTACTACAACTGTTGATGACTATGTCACTAAATTTGAAGGACTTTCAAGATTTGTTCCATGGATAGTAGGTAATGACGTGGAAAGGATGAACTTCTTCATTAAGGGTTTGAAAGTAGCTATCAATAAGGATGTGAGCATGTCGAGGCCTCAGTCGTTCAGCGAAGCAGTTGAACTGGCTATGATATCTGAGAAGGGCATTAAGAGACAAGAATTGGAGAATAAAGCTACTTATGCCACTAAGAATGGCCAGTGGAAACCAAGAACAACTACAACAAAAGGGAAACAGAAGCAAGAGTGGCAACAAAATGCTAACAAGCGGCCTAAGACAGATAATTCAACTGCTAATGAGTATCCAAAATGTCATAAATGTGGGAAAACACATGGGGTAGAATGTCGATATGGTACCTTTAATTGCTACACTTGTGGAAAACCTGGTCACATTGCTGCAAATTGTGGAGCTAAGCCTGATGGTCAGAAGAAGACTTAAGGAAGGGTGTTTGCAATGATGGCAAAAGATGCTGAAGAAGATCCTACTGTTGTGGCAGGCACACTCTTCATTTTTAGAATGATAGCTCACGTATTGATAGATTCAGGTTCTACTCATTCATTTGCATCTCTTGCATTTGCTAATAAATTGGGTAAAGTACCAGAGATATTAAAAAGTGGGTTTAGGGTAGTTTTACCTTCTGGAGAGGTGTTGAGATCTTATTTGGTTATGATAAATGAGAGAGAGATGCCTGTGAATTTAATCATTTTAGATATGAAAGATTTCGATGTGATTCTTGATATGTATTAGTTATCTAAGTATAGTGCCACCATAGATTGTCAGCAAAAGCCTGTTATTTTTAAACCTCAGGAGGGACATCAATTCCTTTTCAATGAAAGGTCAAAGAATGTCTCTTTTTCAATCATTTCTGCAATAAAGGCAAGAAAAATGATTTGTAAAGGTTGTATTAGTTTCTTGGCCTCGGTAGTTGATACTTCAGTTCGGGATGAGCTAAAACTTGAAGATGTGCTAGTTGTTAGGGAGTATTTGAAAGTTTTTTCTGAAGATCTTCCTAGTCTTCCTCCGGATCGAGAGATAGAATTTGTCATTGATGTTGTTCTAGGAACAACTCTTATTTCTAATGCACTATATCGTATGGCACCATCAGAATTGAGAGAGTTGAAGATTCAACTGCAAG